AAAAAAAAAAAAAAAAAAATTTAGATAGGAACTGGAAGAAATTTCAAAAATAAATATTAAAGGTTCACACCCAGCCGGGCAAAGTGGCTTACACCTGCAATCCTAGCACTCTGAGAAGCTGAGGCGGTGGATTGCTGAAGCTCACAGGTTTGAGAGCAGCCTGAGCAAGAGTAAGACTCTGCCTCTAAAAATAGCCAGGCATTGTGGCAGGTGCCTATAGTCCCAACTTCTCAGGAGGCTGAGAATTACTTGAGCCCAAGAGTTTGATGTTGCTGTGAGCTATGATGCTACAGTACTCTACCAAGGGTGAGAAAGTGAAACTCTGTCTCAAAAGAAAAAAAAGAAAGGTTAACACCCACTGTTGCATCAATGCTAGGCTAATAGGAATGTTTCGCTTATTTTGATCTTCTAACCAAATCAATAAATAACTTTTCCATCTCAATAATTAATTTACTATGCTGCTATTAGTATTCAATGCTTTATTGGAACACTGCCTTTCCTGTGTTCCAGCATTGTCATTTTATCCTTTATAACTGTTCCGACAGTCAAGCGACAGAAGCCTCTGCTTTCCCAATAAATGATATGTCTGGTCTTCCTCCAAATACTTAATTATTTCCACTTTCATTTTCAGTGTAATTACCTTTCTCTTTGCTGCAGGTTCAGCTGGACTTGTAGTAGACTTTTGTTTTGGAGACATGGTAATAAGAGTAAACACAGACTCACAAAATAGAATTAAAAAGCTAAGACAAAAAGTGATGCTGTGTGAACAAGACTAGCCCCCAACACAAAGGTGCTGCACTATTGACCCAATTGCACCACACAGATGTGTTTACATCTGCAGAAGAATCTAGCTCCTGATTATTAACTTAATTATTTAATTATAAATTATCCTTATGGGGTGCTTCAGGTGCCTATTCATGAATGCTGTAAGTTGGTTCAACCATAACCTAGGGCTTATCTATATTTCAAAATAACTAGAATACAGAATTTTGAATGTTCTTGCCACAAACATGTGTTTGAGGTAACGGATAAGCTAATTATCCTGATTTGATCATTACACAATGTATACATATTCAAAATGTACATATTTACGTACCCCATAAATATGTACAATTATGTGTTGATTTAAAATAAAATAAGTGGGGTAGCACCCATGGCTCAAAGGAGTAGGGCACTGGCCCAATATGCCAGAGGTAGTGGGTTCAAACCCAGCCCCAGCCAAAAAAAAAAAAAAAAAAAAAGCCAGGTGCAGTGGCTCACACTGCTAATCCCAGGACTCTGGGAGGCTGAGGCAGGAGGACTGCTTGAGCTCAGGAGTTCAAGACCAGCCTGAGCAAAAGTGAGACCCCATCTCCACTAAAACTAGAAAAAAACTAGTTAGGCGTTGTGGGGGGAGCCTGTATTCTCAGCTACCCAGGAGACTGATGCAAGAGGATCACTTGAGCTCAACAGACTGAGGGTGCTGTGAGCTATGACGCTATGGCACTCTACCTAGGGTGACAGAGTAAGCCTCTGTCTTAAAAAGAAAAAAAACACACACACACACACAAAAAAACTAACTTGAACAATAAAAGAATTCAGTAAGGTAGCAGAATATAAAATCAGTTTAGAGAAATCAATTGTCTTCATATACACTGATAATAAGCAAAAGATACAGTGGTAGGGCCGCACCTGTGGCTCAGTGACTAGGACGCTGGCCTCATATATGGAGGGTGGCGGGTTCAAACCCAGCCCTGGCCAAACTGCAACAACAACAACAAAAAATAGCCAGGCATTATGGTGGGCACCTGTAGTCCCAGCTACTTGAGAAGCTAAGGCAAGAGAATCACCTAAGCCCAGGAGTTGGAAGTTGTGAGCTGTGATGCCACAGTACTCTACTGAGGATAAAGTGAGACTCTGTCTCAAAAAAAAAAAAAAAGATATAATGGTAGAGGAAACCCCACTTACAATAACAACACGTATGATCAAATACTTAGAAATAAACTTAAGTTACATGTAAAATATGTATGAGGAAAAAATCTGAAACCTTCCTTCATGTATAAGCCCCCAAAGTACACTGAAACAAAAAGGCATCCCTTGTTCTTAGATAGAACAACTCAACATAAAGATACACAGTAGATATACAACTCAACATAAAGATATAGCTGACCACCTCCTTAAGTTGACCTAATTTTCTTTTTTTTTTGAGACAGTGCCTCAACCCAGTGTCCCCCTGGGTAGAGTGCTGTGACATCACAGCTCACAGCAACCTCCAACTCCTGGGCTCATGCGAGTCTCCTGCCTCTGCCTCCGAAGTAGCTGGGACCACAGGCGCCTGCCACAACGCCTGGCTATTTTTTTTGGTTGCAGCCATCATTGTTGTTTGGCGGGCCTGGGCTAGGTTCAAACCCGCCACCTTAGCCACTTGAGCTACAGGCGCTGAGCCACCTAATTTTCATAGACTGGACACGCACCACACGTATGTAGTACAGTAGGCCTAGTTTCTTATGTTGACCACCTCTGTATGTTGACCAACTTGTTATAGTTCCTTGGAGGTCAACCTAGGAGGTTCTACTGTATCCACATTCTTGTTTTTAAGGAAATAGACATGTTGATATTTAAGTTTATGCAGAAAAATAAATAAGCAACAGCTCAGGAAACAGTGAAAAAGGATAGCTATGAGGAGGACTGGCCCTAGTTAATAGTAAAACATACTACAAAAAGCCTCTATAATCAAAACTGTAAGGGTTTAGTGCATGAATACAGAGACACTAGCGGAATTAAAGTTCAGGAAAAGATCCAAGTCCAAATAGAAATTTAGCATATCATAAGTATGACATCTTTTTTTTTTTTTTTTTTT